GTAAAAGAAAGCAGCTAAATGCAAGAAATTAACAAGAACAAGCAGATGCAAGGGAGCTCGACCAAGAGCTCGATCGAGTTGATGAGCTCGATCGAGTTGGTGATCGAACGAAGATCGAGTTGAGGGTCGAGTTGGTGTAAAAACAGAGGAAATGCAATGAAAAGCGATAAAGGTGCAAACTTTAAGATGCTAATGCGAATATTAGGGTTAAAGACAGGGTTTTGCAGCTAAAGGGAGGCTATACTTAATCAGCCTTGCTCTTAAACAACTTGTATCAAGGTATCTCTTGATATTGAGCTTCTCAATGCCTAGCTAACCCTTTCCCAAGGTGAAAGCTATCAACCAAGACTTGATCTCAGAAACAGGGGGTTAGCCAGTGAGAATCAAGCCTTGGAGGCCATAGGATCATTGCTCAAACTAATCCATCCAACCCCTTAGACCTCTATTTTCTAGAGCAAGAGATATTGGAGCTCTTAGTGGACCTTTCCAACGATTTCCATCACTTCCATGTGGAGAATCGTCTATGGACATACAAGCCAGGGATAGTGGTCATGTAGCCTTAAGGATTTCCAAAAGAGAGAGATTTCTAGATTAAGAACATAAGCAAGAAGGATTAAGCATAAAAACCCTAACCTATCCCATCTTAAGCCCTAAAGGGAACTACTCACTAATCATGGTGAAATAAACAACCAAATGCAATGAATGAAATATCAAAAGATAGAGGAGATGATATAGAACAACTTTTATTGAAATAGAGAAGTGCAGAAATACAATAATAAAGCCTAGATCTAAGGTTCAATGAGCAAGAGCTCAAGAACACAAAGAGAGGCTAAAAAGTAAAAAAGGAAATGCAAATACAAGATTAAATAAAAGTTGAGCAAAAGCTGTGTTTAATTCGTGGCTCAATGCCTTTATAGTAAAGCAAACTAGGTTTAGGGTCAAAGGGGAGTCAAAGGGAAGCAACATTTTTCGGGTTTGACTTTGACTCCTGGAAAAGCAGCTCGATCGAGTTGGAAACTGGCCGGTCGAGCTGGTGGGTCGAGTCCAACCAAAATCGTCGTATCTTCTGAACCGCTGGTCCGAATGACATGAAACCACCTCCAGACGAAAGCTAACTCAATTATCCACAACTTCCAAGAAGAAGTCAGAGGCTGAATCGGAGTGTAAACCCTTCATTTGATACGATACTTCGGACGCATCTCACTAGCTCGACCGAGTGCGGGTCCGTACATGGGGCAGACAGAGTCTTTCCTTCCTCAACTAGTCTCCAGTGATAGGCAATGTTCCAATTAGCTCCAAATGACCTGATTAAGACATCAAACGTGCATATGTATGCAAATGCAAGCCTAAAACTACTATGTATGCAAAAGAAGAGAAAAGGAACAAGATATGATGCTAATGGAATGCTAAAACTATGCAAAAGATGCATAAAAGAAGGGCTAAAACCATGTAAAATGCAAGTACATCACTAACCCTCAGGACCAAGTATATCCTCAACAACAAGCAGCTCGATCGAGTCAGGTGCCACAACATGGGTATGGTCAAAAGAACAATTACCAAGGACCACAAGGCACTTTCCCTGGACAACAAATGAATATCCCACCAGGCTTCCCCCACCAACCGCCCCAGCCTGCACCTTCACAAGAGAATGAGCTCAAGGCAATGCAAAAGCAACTACTTCAAGGGCAAGCTGATGGGGTAGTGGACACAAGCAAGAAGCTAGCTGAAATAAACTCTAAGATCGAGAACCTCAACACAAGGGTTTACTCTCTGGAGAATCATGCTTCTTCTGTTGCTGCTGCTACAAAGCAAGGACAACTACCTGGTAAAGCTATTCAGAACCCCAAGGAACAGTGCAAGGTCATCTTCACTCAAGAAGGACTTGTTGAAAAAGAGGATCAAGAAAGGGTCATTGAAGATTTTTGTTTACTGCTGAATGATGAAGAGATTGTTGCTGCTGAGGCCCCTGGAGTCCAGATTGATCAACCAGAAGTGCATGCGCCTGCTGTGGCCATTCACACTTCACCAACTCTAGCTTCATTTCATGCGCCTGCATTTCATGCGCCTGCATGCGCCTGCATTTCATTTCTGCTTCAGTTAGGTTGTTAGTGTTACCCCAAATCTTCTACTGCTTGCTTGACTTTCTTGTGTTTTCATATTCTCAAAGAGTAGCAACTTCTCCCATTTTGGATTGATAACCTCTTATACTACATTGACTATGATGGTTAAGAGGAATTGATTGATTGTGATTGCACCATACCATTTCATCTTTATTCACCCCTGTTTGCATTCAACCTCATATCTTATCACATCCACCGTAAAATCCTATCATCACACTTGAGGCTTTGCCTTCTTTTCTTTACTTAGAACCCTTTTTACTTCCTTTTTTAACTTCCCAAACCTTTACTAGACCCTTTTTAGCACTCCCTGGACTTAACAACTTTTTCCAACTTTTACCACTTTTCTGGTTTTTACACCCAACTCGATCGAGCTCGAGTTGGCACCCCCAAACTTAGCCTGAAAACAATCCCAAGAGAACTAGACAACTAGAACTACTGCCCCTGCCGGTTTAAACACAACACCTTATGCTAAGCAAAGCCAAGAAAGGTTCTCACATTCGCACAAGAGATAATATGGGGTTTGAAATGAAAAGGCTTAGGTTTAAGGTGTGGTAACTGTCTCAAAGATAGAGATCAGCTATCTGGACAAGCAAAAGGGATATGAAAATGGTAAAGAATGTCCAGATATGTATGTGGTAGCCATGAGTTGAAATCAAATGCAAGCATTGGTAATTAAAGATCAAGTTATGGTTCAAATAGATAGGGAAATGCATCAAATCACAGCAATGGTTGAATGAGATGTGCATGCAGTGATATGATCAAGATAAACATGGTTCTTGCTGCTCAATCAATCTCACCCTAATGCACAAAAGAATCTAAAAACAGGGCACTCAAGAAATCGCAAATGATGACAAGTTTTCAAAGTCAAATCAACAATGCAAGTGAAAAATGCAATCCTAAACAAGTCTAACAAATATGAATGCAAAAAGATGAAAATATTTTTGGATTTTTTGAAAATTTTATGATTTTTTTGGTTTTTCTATGCAAAAGATGAATGAAAAACTAAGAACAAAGAAAACAAGGTTAAATCATCTCTTGAACCCTCCCCCAAACTTAAATCACACAGTCCCTTGTGTGAGAGAAATTTAGTGAAAGATTCAAGAGGGCAAAACCAAGAAAAAAAAAACAAAGCAAGAAAATATGAAATGGTATATACAAGGGTTGGTGTTTGGATACCTCAGTGCCCCCCAAAGAACTGGGAGGCAAGGTCGTGGTCTGGAGATGGTAGACGGCCATCAGGGCACTCCACTCGACTGGGTTCGCCTCCTCGATCGAGCTTGCTTGGCTCGATCGAGTTGTGCCTCGAGTTGGCTTTTCCTTCCTAAAACCTGTTCCTGCAAGACTTAGCTGAGAAAAATCAGAGATAAAAGATAAAAGAAATATGTACAAGATAGACATGGGAATTCCTCCCAAGTGAGCTTGTTTTAGGTCTCATAGCTTGACCTTACCCCTTTTAGGCCGGGGTTGGATCTTGTAGAGGAGTGATGATCTCCTCTGTGGGGGTCATTCCTAGATATGGCTTGCATCTATGCCCATTCACTGTGAATTCCTTCCCCTCTTGATTGAGTAGAGTGAGGGATCCATAGGGCAAAACTTCGTGATCTTGAATGGTCCCGCCCACTTTGACCTTAGCTTCCCGGGAAACAACCTTAGCTTGGAGTTATACAAGAGCACACTGTCCCCAACCTTGAAGTCTTTAAGGCGAATCAGTTTGTCATGGGCTGCCTTTGTTCTCATCTTATAGATCAGGAGTTCTCATAGGCATTCATTCTGATTTCTTCCAACTCAAACAAGTTCATTACTCTTCTCTCTTGTGCAGCCTTTATATCAAAGTTCAGCATCTTTACTGCCCATAGTGCCTTGTACTCTACCTCCACAGGTAAGTGACAATCCTTTCCATACAGCAAGTTGAAAGGGGACCTTCCAATGGGGGTTTTGTAAGCTGTTCTATAGGCCCAAAGAGCTTCATCAAGTCTTGTTGACCAATCCTTCCTAGTAAAGCTCACTGTCTTCTCAAGAATGGCCTTTATCTGTCTATTGGAGACCTCAACTTGCCCACTGGTTTGAGGATGGTAAGGTGTAGCGACCTTGTGCTTGACTCCATAACTCTTCATCAACTTCTCAAACACTTTATTGATGAAATGGGAACCTCCATCCGAAATAACAACCCTTGGGATGCCATATCTTGGAAAGATGATGGTTCTGAACAGTTTGATAACAACCTTAGCATCACAGGCTGGGCAGGGGATGGCTTCAATCCATTTGGACACATAGTCCACAGCAACCAAATGTAGTTGTGCCCGTTTGAGGAAGGCTTGAAAGGTCCCATGAAGTCTATTCCCCATACATCAAAGATCTCAACTTCCAGAATTGGGTTTAGTGGCATTTCATCTCTCTTGGTGATACTTCCTTTCCTTTGGCATGGATCACACTTTGCGATGTAAGCTTGCTGCATCTTTAAACAAGGTAGGCCACCACAACCCAGATTGCAGAACCTTGTTGCTGTTTTGAATGTAGCAAAGTGACCTCCATAAGCTGACCCATGGCAATGCTCTAGAACTCCTTGCACATCCTCTTCAGCTATGCATCTCCTGTAAATGCTGTCTGGTCCTCTCTTGTACAAGTAAGGCTCATCCCAATAGTAATGCCTAGCATCCTTGAAGAATTTCTTCCTCTTGTAAGCATCAAAGCTACTAGGGACTTCTCCGGACACCATGAAGTTCACTATATCAGCATACCATGGCAAATTCTCATCACGCAGAGCCTTAACTTCTTCCAGCCTGACTTTCTCATCAAAACTCTCCTTCAAGATCATGATTGCCATAAGCTGTTCTTCAGGCATAGAATCATTGATGGGGATCATGTCTTCAACTCGCATCCTAGAGAGATGATCAGCAACTCCATTTTCTACTCCCTTTTTGTCCACAACTTCTATGTCAAACTCTTGAAGCAAAAGGATCCATCTGAGAAGTCTTGGCTTTGTATCTTTCTTAGCGAAGATGTGCCTAAGGGCAGCATGGTCAGTGTGCACAATCACCTTGGATCCAACTATATAGCTTCGAAATTTCTCAAAGGCAAAGACTATGGCAAGGAGTTCCTTCTCTGTGGTTGCATACTTGCACTGAGCATCATCCATAGTCTTGCTTGCATAGTAGATGACATTGAGTTTCTTGTCTATCTTTTGGCCAAGCACTGCTCCTACTGCATAGTCAGATGCATCACACATAATCTCAAATGGGTGATCCCAGTTTGGAGCTTGAACTATTGGGGCAGATACCAGAGCATCCTTCAGCAAGGTCCAAGACTTGTGGCATTCTTCATCAAACTCAAAATCTGTCTCCTTGCACAGAAGCCTTGTCAAGGGTCTTGCTATCTTTGAGAAATCCTTTCTAGATGTTGAATTTAACTTCCTATAGTCAAGACACATGCGATGCTCCACTATTGTTCTAGTGGGAATCAGCTCCTCCTTGTCATTTTTTATGACATTGATCCCCCCTTTCTTTGGGACGCAATGAACTGGAGATATCCAAGTGCTATCACTGATGGGATAGATTATCCCAGCATCAAGCAACTTGAGTATCTCTTTCTTCACTACTTCCTTTAGATTGGGGTTCAACCTCCTTTGAGGTTCAATGACAGGGTAAGTTGAGTTTTCACCCAAGAATGCATACCTGAGGCCTTCAGGCAAAGGTTTGAGGTCCACTTTTGGTGCCTTGAGCTCAGACCAATCTCCTTGAGCTTGTTCCTTGTATTCAGTTCCCAGCTCGATCGAGTTTGTTTGTTCGAAACCCGACTCGATCGAGCTCTTGATCGAGCTCACTGGCATGACCTCGCAAACTGGCCTGTCCAACCCCTCAATGCTCAGAATGTTTGGAACTGGTCTGAAGGTGTCAAGGAGCCTCTTGTACTCATCGGTTTCCGAGCTCACATATCCTTCTGAAGAGTCCTTAGTCAAAGCAACTTGTAGGGGATCCTCCAACGATAACTCTTCTAAAAGCTCATCTGCCAACTGATCCATCTCCTCAACATAAAAGAGCTGACCTTCTATTGTTGGTTTCCTCATTGTATCCTTGATATCAAACTTCATCCTTAGGTCATTTCCTAAGTTTAGCTCAATTGTGCCTTCACAGACGTCTATCATTGCTCTTGCTGTAGCTAGGAATGGCCTTCCTAGTATCAATGGATCTGTTGGTTCCTCATCCATTTCCAGCACAATGAAGTCGGTGGGGATTTCTACATTCCCTATCCTCAAAGGCAGGTCCTCAAGCATTCCAGTTGGTAACCTTATCGATCTATCTGCCAAGACTAGTGAGATTCCGCAGGCTTGGTACTTGTGATATCCCAGTTTCTTTGCTACAGACAAAGGTATGAGGCTGACAGATGATCCTAGATCGCAGAGGCTGTTTTTGAAAGATAGGGGTCCCAACATGCAGGGTAAAGTGAAACTCCCCGGATCTTCCTTTTTTTTGGAGATAACCTTCCGTTGAATGATTGCACTGCACTCACGAGTCAACACTACCATCCCTTGTGCTTCCCTGGTTCTTTGCTGAACAGCATCCTTCAGGAATTTCCGATAAGGTGGAATGGGCATCAAAGCGTCGATGAAAGGTAACTTTAGCTCAAGTTGTCTCATTAGTTCAACAAACTTAGCCTTGTGTGCTTCCAATAGTTGTTTCTTGAACCTTCCTGGAAAAGGCATAGGGGGTTTGTATGGTGGTGGTCTGATGTACTTGCATTTTACATAGTTTTAGCACATCTTTTATGCATCTTTTGCATAGTTTTAGCTTCCATTTGCATCATATCTTGTTCCTTTTCTCTTCTTATGCATTCATGTTAGTTTTAGGTTGCATTTGCATACATATGCATGTTTGGTCCTTTGAAATAGGTCTTTTGGAGCATTCTGGAGCATATGGGACATGAGGAGCATGGAGGGACTTGGCACATGGAAGCAGCTCAACTGGATACGCAAAGGAAGAAGGGAGAAGCCATCTTGAAGACCAGCTCGACCGTCTACTCGACCAACCGGTCGAGTTCCTCAACTCGACCGGCCAAGCTTCAACTCGATCGAGCTGAGAAGTCAAAGTCAAACCCGAAAAATGTTGCTTCCCCCTTGACTTTCCTTTGACCCTAAACCTAATCCTCTTGTATTTAAAGGCTCTAAGCCACGAAAAAACCACCAAGCTTTAGATTATTTTGTTTTAGTTTCTTTTAATTTATTGTCTTTTACTTTTTAGAGATCTAATCCCATCTTTGTGTTCTTGAAGCTCTTGCTTCTTGAATCCTAGATCCTGGATAATCTCTCTTTGTATTTGCACTTGCTTATTTCAATAAAAGTTGTTTAATTTCATCTCCTCTTTCTTATGATGTCTCTTTTATTGCATTTGCTTGTGTTTACATTCATGTGTAGTGAGTAGTTACCCATTAGGGTTTGAGATGGGATAGATTAGAGGTTTCATATGCTTAATCCTTCTAGCTTATGGTCTTAATCTAGATTCTCTCTCTTTTGGATAGATCTTAAGGCTACATGACCACTACCCCTGGCTTGTAAGTCCTTAGGCGACTCCCCACACGAAAGTGATGGCATTCGCTGGAAAAGATCCACTAAGAGCTCCAATATCTCTTGCTCTAGACAATAGAGGTCTAAGGGGTTGGATGGATTAGTTTGGGCAATGATCCTATAGCCTCCAAGGTTTGATTCTCACTGGCTAACCCCCTGTTTCTGAGATCATTCCTTGGTTGATAGCCTCCACCTTGGGAAAGGGTTGGCTAGGCATTGAGAAGCCCAATATCAAGAGAAGCCTTGATACAAGGAGTTTTAAGAGCTAGATTGATTAAGTGTAGATTCCTTTGATTGCAAAACCCTGTCTTGAACCCTAATTCTCTCTTTATCTTGTTAAAGTCGTCACCTTTAGCTTTTTTGTCTCAACTCGACCCTAAACTCGATCGAGCTGGTACTTTGCTGACTCGACTCGAGTCTTGGTCGAGCTGACACTTCACTGCTTTGTTTACTTTTATTGCACTGCTTTTCATTTTTTTAGGTTGTTAGTGTTACTTCAAATCTATTAACTGCTTGCTTGACTTCCTGGTTGTTTCATATTCTCATAGAGTGACAAGTTTCCCATTTTGGATTGATAACCCTTTGTACTACATCACTATCATGGTTAAAGGGAATTGTTGACTGTGTTTGTGTTTGCATCTTACCACCTCATCATATACCACTGATTGCATTCCACTCATCTCATTTCATATCTTTTCACATCCACACACAAATCCTATCATCAATTTGGCGCCGTTGCCGATTTGGGAATATTTTTGTTGCATTTGAGTTTCAAACACACTTGGACGATCAAGCTATACCACCCCTGTTCTATTGTACTGCTGGGTTTTTGTCTCTTTTTGCAGGTGTATGCGAACTCGATCGAGTCGGTCTACTGAAGACTTGGTCGAGCTAGACTTACAACGGGTAGAAAGAGGGTTCAGAGGTCACAGAGGGTACAAGAGGAACCTGAGGTGCTTGTTGCTGATACAATGGATGTACCAGAGGGGAATGGAAACCCTTTGGGAATGGACTCGGTCGAGCTAGGCAAACTCGACCGATTGGTCAAGGAGATGCTCCAAACCGCCACCAACAGAGACAAGGGATTGTTCCACCACCAGTGCAGAACCACAACTTTGAGATCAAGCTGGGAATGATCAACCTTGTCCAGAACAAGATGTTCCATGGATTGCCAAGTGAAGACCCCATTGACCACCTTGATGAGTTTGATAGGCTTTGTGATTTGACAAAGATCAATGGTGTCTCTGAAGATGCCATCAAGCTGAGACTCTTTCCTATGTCTCTAGCTGACAAAGCTCACCAATGGGAGAAGAGCTTGCCCCATGGCACAATCACCACTTGGGATGAATGCAAGAAGGCCTTTCTTGCTAAGTTTTTCTCCACCGGTCGCACAGCCAAGCTTAGAGGAGAGATATCCAGCTTCATCCAGCGAAACAATGAGACATTCGCAGAGGCTTGGGAGAGGTTCAAAGGCTACACAAGTCAGTGCCCACACCATGGATTCAACAATGAATCACTACTCTCCACTCTTTATAGAGGATGCTTGCCTAGGTATAGGGAGATGCTAGACACAGCTAGCAATGGGAACTTCCTCAACCAGGATGTAGATGATGGCTGGCAACTTGTGGAGAACATAGCTAACTCAAATGGAAGCTATGGAGAAGAGTATGATCGCACCAACCGGAGCTCGACCCACCACTCGATCGAGTCAGACGAAAAGTTGAGAAAAGATGTTAAGGCATTGAATGAGAAGTTGGATAAGCTGATCCTAGCTCAGTCCACAATGAAGAAAGTCAACTTTGTGTCTGCTGAGGAGATGGAACCAGTCCAAGAAGGGGAGGATACACAATTTGCTGAGGTGTGCTACATGAGCAATGGGCAAGGAGGTTACAACAAAGGATACTATAATTACAAGTCCAACCCTGCCATGTCATACCGCAACACTGATGTTGCTAACCCTCAGGACCAAGTCTATCCTCAACAACAAGCAGCTCGATCGAGTCAGGTGCCACAACATGGGTATGGTCAAAAGAACAATTACCAAGGACCACAAGGCACTTTCCCTGGACAACAAATGAATATCCCACCAGGCTTCCCCCACCAACCGCCCCAGCCTGCACCTTCACAAGAGAATGAGCTCAAGGCAATGCTAAAGCAACTACTTCAAGGGCAAGCTGATGGGGTAGTGGACACAAGCAAGAAGCTAGCTGAAATAAACTCTAAGATCGAGAACCTCAACACAAGGGTTTACTCTCTGGAGAATCATGCTTCTTCTGTTGCTGCTGCTACAAAGCAAGGACAACTACCTGGTAAAGCTATTCAGAACCCCAAGGAACAGTGCAAGGTCATCTTCACTCAAGAAGGACTTGTTGAAGAAGAGGATCAAGAAAGGGTCATTGAAGATTTTTGTTTACTGCTGAATGATGAAGAGATTGTTGCTGCTGAGGCTCCTGGAGTCCAGATTGATCAACCAGAAGTGCATGGCCTACTGTGGCCATTCACACTTCACCAGTTGAGCTCGCACGACAAGCTCGATCGGCAGCTCGATCGAGTCCAACTCTAGCTCGATCGAGTCCGACCTCTTCTGTCCGACAGCCTGTTTTGCTTGATCCTTATCAACCGGTTGCCGCTTCCTCGTCTCGCCTACTTAGTCAAGGTCACAAGGAAGTGATTCACAAGTTCAGAAGAGATCTCAGTGGGATTGGAATTGAGTTGCCTCCTATGGATAGCATGAGTGAGGCATTTGATCAAATGCAAATGGTCAAGGATGTTCTAGCCAACAGTGATAAAGTTTCAGAGGTCCTACAAGAGTCTACTCATCAGTTCAACCTGCTTACTTCACCCACCTTCCTACCAAAGGTCAAGGATCAAGGGAAATTCACTCTCCCTTGCACACTTGGGCATCTTGAGATTGACAATGCCTTAGTGGATTCTGGAGCAAGCATCAATCTGATCTCTCTCTCCATGGCAGAGAAGCTAGGCATAGCTGGAGCCTTGCAGCGCCCTACTACTTCAATCATGTTTGGAGATGCAACTTCTAAGTCTCCTCTTGGAGTGTTCAAGAACTATCACTTGAAAATTGGAGAATGCATCATCCAAACTGATCTCACTGTGATGGAAATGGAAGAAGAGAAGGATTTGCCTCTGTTATTGGGAACCCCTTTCCTTAGTACAGTTGGCGCTTCAATAGACTTTCACAAGCAAGAAGTGATCCTTCACAAGGTGAATAGTTTGGTGTCATATCGCTTGCAGCCTAGAGGTTCAGACTTTTGTGCCACAATTGACAGTACCAATCTCAGTTCTAAGAGTCATGGAGCTACAAAGGTTGTGAAGGAAAGGGTTGACAAGGAACCAAGAGTTGGGAAGGATAAGGATGAGAGAGGACCAAGGATTGAGAAGCCACGTCTTGAGAGGGCTAGAGTTGAGAAACCACGTCTGATAGGCCACGAGCTGATAGACTTGTTCAAGCCCCTTGTGTGCTTGATGAAGAGAGCCTTCAAGCTTTGTTTGATGAGCCACTAGGAAGGGCTCTAAAAGAAGGGGAGGATGTAGCCTCTAAGGCAAGACCAGGAGATAAAAGAAAGGATCCACCAGCTCAGGCCCCTTCA